GAGTTATAACTGATGAGGTTGATCCTTTTTTTGGCCTCTTCTTGCTCTTTGCTGTTTGGGAACTTTTTTCCTGCTGTGTTAAGGATTTTTAGTTTTCTAAAATAAACAGTAATAAAAGCAAACATGAATTTAAAATAAATAGCCCTAACCATAGTATGCCTTTTACTTGACTTTTTCTTTTCTCTTTTCCTCTTTTTCTCTTGTTCTTCGCTCCTAGATAGGTCTTCTTTCTTCATTAGCTACTTGACTTGTAGGATCATCAGCTTGGCTCACTGGGTTGTTATCATTCAAGTTCTTAGTGGCTTCAGAAGCTTCATTGTTTCCAACTTCCTAAATAATAGTAAAATCAATTTGTCCAAAAAGTAATAATAATTACAAACACAATTTGTAACATTTTACATATATAAAAACCCTTTACAAAATTCTTAAGTTGTCAAATATTAGCACTTATAGTGTTAGGAGGTTGTCCTTTACAAGTTCTTGAATTGTGCCCTCTTTTAAAGCATTTTTGACAAGTCATCACCCTTCTTTTTTTAAAGAGTGATGTCTGCCCTTCCCATTCTTCTAGCACCTTTTTTTTTTTTTGGTCAGCCTAGCATTTTCCTAGGAAATGGTGGCTAAATTAAGGGCATTTTAGTTTACTTCCATTGTGGCATCTCCTCAATACAAGGAACTTCATATTCGTAACTTGCCAAGAATATATGCTTACCATACCAGTGACTTACATAGTCTTCATCTTTTTCCTTCCTCAATTTAATGACACTTACAACATGCTTACAAAGAATGCATGTCATGTTTTAGCACTTACAAGTGCAGGTCCTCTTGTTCATATCAACAATAAATTTACCCTTGTCTTCTTCTTCAACCTCATAACCAGTGCCATCAAGCCATAGCACCTTGCATCTCTTGTTTCCTTCCCTACTTGCAATAATCTTCTCCCATATTCTAGGACCAAATCACCAACAAACTTCTCTTTTGCAAATGTCCTTCTAGCAATAGTCCTCCTACCACACATCATCCTAAGATCTTCAAGCATTGAGAAAATAGGCTTGTGCCTTGATTCAACAATTAAGGCATTAAAAACCTCACACATATGGTTGTCAACTACATTTAACTTACTACCTTCCTTGAAGAATGCCTTTGACGAAAACTGTGGGTGTATTTTTAAGATTGCAGCCTTAGCTCTTTGTTTAATGTTGGTCAATTCACCCAATGCCTAAATGAAATTAGCTTTAGTGGTTGCCTTTGCTCATTTCCAGAATTCCCTCTGCAATTCCTTGCCTTGGTTATCCTTTCAAAAGTTGGCATATATGTGTCTTGCACATTTTCTATGTTCAGCATCTAGACACAACTCTTTAATTGCATTCATTAGCCCATACCATGCACATCATAACGTATTAAAGGCTAGACAAATGGATAAAAATAAAATATTATTACAACAGAAGGTCCCAACTTGGTCCTTGAACTTTAAAAGTGCAAGGATCAATTTGGAACCTTAGTTACAACAAAGAAACAAAGCTAGCAATAACCTTCTGTTGGTCTGATATAAATGTGAATCTATTTCCTCTACCAATTTGCATATCTAATTGTAGTTCTTCCAAAAACCATCTCCAAGTCTTTGTCTTCTCAACTTCGACAATTGGCCATGTTAATGGGCATATCTGATCGTTGGCATCTCGTCCAACTGGCATCAGTAAAACTCCTTTATATGCTTCCTTAAGAAAAGCTTCATCAACCCCCATTACACGCCTACAGCCAGTAACAAATCCAAGTTTCATAATGCTGAAACATACATACATTATCATGAAGATAGGACTTGTATCTGTTGTCGACCTTGGTGCCTGAATGAGAATTGTGGCTACTGGATCTCTTCTCCTTAGCTCAGTAGCATAGTTCCATAGTTTACTATATTCCATCAAACAATTTCCTACAAACACACGAGCAATTTTCTCTCTTACCTTTTTGCATTGTTTTCTAGTTAACTCCAGCCCAGTGTTTCTCCGGATGGTTTGAAAAATGTCATTTGATTTCAAGTAAAGAGAAGCAAAACCCATCTTCTTAACCAAATACTTTGATGCACTTGTTGAGTTGCATCTCTTACTTGTCAACTCCTCACTACAGGTATGCTCATAAATATATGTCTTCGCCATCCAAGAATCTATCATTGCATCCTTTGATAATAATATTTTCCAATCACAACTTGGGGCATGTTTACAAACAGCCCTAATCCATTTGCTGTCATTCTTCTTCCATTTAATATCCCTCATTTGCATCATGTTGCATCTATCAACAATAGCTTTAAATTGTGCCTTGCTCACAAAAGTCATCCCCAACCTTATATTTGGAAGAGCATTTTCAACTTCTTCATAAACTACATGTAGCTCTCTTCTTAGAAGCATGATTAGCATCACTTCCATCATCCTTATTAGTAGAAATGTAACTATATTCTCCTTCACTTTGAATTTCATCACCATCATCATGGACTGCTATAGGAGGGGTACTAGGACCTGCTGCATTCACACCTAAATTAATTGAATTTACATACAATATATGAAAACATAACCCAAAAAAAAAAAAAAAACATTACAGCTGTGAAAAGACAATGACATACCACCATCATGATAGGAACTAGGTCCTGCATTATCCTCTTGCAAATTATAACAAAAAGACTTGACCTTCCTTCTGGCCTCTATAGCCTCCTCATTTTCATTATCTGTTAACTCAAGGATATCCATAACAAAATCATCATGCCCTTTATCACCTTTTGCCTCTTTGTCCCCATTTAGATCATCATTATGGACATCAGCCACATTATCACTTTTTGATGCACATGCACGTTCCTTCTCGACACCAGCTTCATCTTCCTTCTTTAACCAAACACCTTGTGCAGTAAAATCTTGTCCAAGTTCATAATAATCCTCAACTACAGTCTCCTTTTGGCCTTCCTCCACACGAACCTCACCATCAACTGCCTTACCATTAATAGGACCCTCAGTCTCAACCCCTTTACCAGCATTATTAGTTTCTTGACCCTTGTTTACATCGTCTCCAGGTGCTAGTAAAGCAAGAAATTGTTCAACTATAAAAGAGAAATCTGGTATATGAATTATATATATATGAACCTTATTATGAACCCTTAGTATGTCCAAGATTTCTCTAATTGAAACATCACCACCTATTACTTGCTTCAAGCCATTACTGAGTGTCTTTCCAAGTTCCAAATACCATATATACTCTACCATATTTGGATCATAATGTGCTATTGAAATCTTTTGGAACAATTCCATTATAGTTAATTTTATCTATGTCTACATGCCAGTCCCAGCACTCTCCATCAACATATTTAAGTCCATTATCTTGTATTAACCTACCGCCTATATAAACAAATATCACATGCTTCTTGGTCCCCCAATCACCTTATTCAATAATGCAAATAAAAGTTTCAATATTTTACATAATAAGTGCATCTTAACGACTAAGCTTAACAACAATAAACAATAAAAAACAGCAACAAATTATAGAATCTTATTGCTTTCATACAAGTAAACACACTGACCCATGAAAAACACATAAGGTGAGGACTAGATGCCCCTTTTTAGAAAGCAAGTCAATAAATAGAGATCTGAAAACCCCACTTTACCCACTTTCTTATTGCACTCATTAGACACAAGGACAATTACAAGACAACAACAAGACAACAACACCCATTAAGCATAATCTTCACACATCTCAAAATAAGATTCGCGAACAAAAAGCATACCTCATTCTTGCTACCATCTGAATCCCCTTCTAGGTCGATATCTATGATTTCTCTAGCCATTGTCGCTCAACTTCTCTTCTCATTCAACGATTGATCACGACAAAGAGTAAGAAGACTCGATTGTAAGGCGAATTGACAGAAAAAGAAGAGATAATACTCTGTTTTGAACTGTTTTTAAGACAAAAGGAAAGGAAAAAGGAACGATCGATTTTTAGGGTTTAATCAAATAAAATCATTTAAACTTCCCCTTTGTCTGAGATTGGTTTTTTTTCCTTTACTTTTCTCGCGAGAGGAGAGTGATGTGGAGGGTGTCATTAAGTCCACGTAAGCACCTTTCACACGTTGCCATATCTACGTCAACTGTTCCATTAAGTTAACGTGGCACGCGAGCAAAAATTAATGGAGGGACTAAAAAGGAGTCGAATTTTAAAATTTAGGGACAAAAAAAGGGATTTTTTCAGTATAGATATCAAAAATGGCTTTTTTCAATAGTGGAGGGATCAAAAAGGGTATTTAACCAATTTAAAATTAGGGTTTTCACGTGTAATAATATAGGAATAGATAAGAGTAGTCAATTATTATGTATATAAAAGTATAAAGAAACTAAGAAAAAAAAAAGGCTGAAATTAATACGCGCAGATGGCAAGGCTAAAATTCGAAGCCCAAACGACTCTGCCCAAGACTCCGTTCCTACGGCCTACGGGTACTAAGTTTGCCTTTCTAATTCAATTCCATTAATTCATGAGAAAAATGTTTTACAAATGGTTTAGTTAAATTTTTTTAGGTACATATTTAAAAGTTTTTTTTTAATATTTTTAAATTTTAATTATTAGATTAAAAATTTTATTTATATAAATTATACATATTAATTAATTTTAAAATTATTTTAATATGTTTAATTACTTCATTAATTATAAAAAATTTAATATCGTTAAATATATATTGATAAATAAAATTTTTTTGATCAAAAGGTTTTAAGTTTTAAATTAATATAAAAATTAACTTATATGATTTACATAAATAGAACATTCAATCCAAAAATTAATTTTTGAAAATATTAATTAAAAAATAAACATTAAATAAATTCTTTAAATTTTTTTTGAAAAAGATGACTTATTCTACCATCCACACTATCCTCTTAATTTATATTGATAGAGCTTTCAAAACCAACTATGCGCACCTCAATGCATTTATATAAATAAAGGATTAATTAAGTCCATATCCATTAATAATAAGACTTTAATAATGTCATATTAAAGTCAAAAAATATATGTAATGTGATGTAGCTAATTATTAATATATTTGTCAGGAATCTAAAGAGCTTAGTAATAAATTTTTTTAATATTAAAATAAGATATTGAGATTGAATAATAAGACTACAAGTGATGAGAATTAAGAGTTAAGGGAGATAAAGAATTTTTTTTATTAATAAAGAAAATAAAAAGGGTTAGTTACATTTTATTATGAATTCAAAAATAAAAAACATTGAATTAATAATTACATCTTGTGCATAATTTGTGTGCACTATGCACTTTAAATGTACACTTGTTTAAAAACTACCTTTGACTTAATGATTACATCTTGTACACAATTTGCGGCAACTTTTCATTGGTAAAACCATAAGTTAAGCCCCTGAACTAACCCCAGAATTGCTATTAAGCCCTTAGACTTTAATTGGTGCATTTAAACCCCTGAACTCTACAATAGAAGCAATTTAGCCCTTACTAGCACAGTAACTTAACTGCTGTTAACTATCGTAAATTGCCATTTGGGGATTGCCTCATGTGGCCAAATATAGTTATCTCATACCTACATGACAAGGGATTTAACATTTGGTTTGTCCAATTAGATGAAAAAAAAGAAACAAAAATTTAGAAATAATTTTTTATATTTTTTTGGTATAATTTTATATGTCATTTAAATAATTAATTTTTTTATTCATAAGTTTGCCTAACTTAAACTCTAAGAACACAAATTAAAAATACAATAAATATA